AAAAATCCACAAATTGATCATTTTCAACCATTCCCATGAGATTCAAAAGATAAAATATGGCGGCCATGTTGGAGGAATGAACTATACAAATGAGAAATCCTTTGTTGAAGTTCCTCCAAGGTGGCCGCTGTGACGTAGCCTTCAAACGAGGAATCTTAATGTGTTATTTTTTTTTAATAAAGCAACTTTCGCGGAGTTTTCATTAGAAGCCGGCAAATGGCGATATCCGGCTTATTTTTCAAATTTGGGTGGGCTACTTTTTGCCAAATTTTGGTTGTAATGTCTTTGACTCCTTCTGATTCGCATAACGCCGTACGGCTACTTCCTCAAGTAAGGAAACGCCTGCTTGTGAGAATTGGTTTACTTGTTCTTCTTCTTTTAGGTCCAGTATTAGACGAGCACATCAAGCTGTGCAATTTGCAGCACAACTTGGACCACAAGGTAACAGTACATGTTCAAGACTGTGGGGTTGTGATGTTGATGATGATGGTGCTGACGATGATGATGACACTTCACGCTAATCATCGTGATGGATAAATTCAAAATATGGTGGACAACATACAGTTATGTTTCACTGCCCACCCTCTTGTTCATGCAATACAGCCAACACTCGCTATTACGGACACCCTCGAGACCTCAATTTAGTGTCCGCAGTGGAGAGACTTCCGTAATAACGAGGAGAGGGGGGGAATTTTCAGTCATTTTTATATGTATTTTCGTCGAAGAATTAAGTATTTCTTGTCCGTAATATCGAGATGTCCGTAATAGCAGGGTGTCCGTAATATCGAGATGTCCGTAATAGCAGGGTGTCCGTAAGTTAGGTATATTCTTTCTATTTCGAATTGGTTTATGATAGTGATGAAAATTGTTTGAATGGTGATTGCTGCAATGATGGTGTCTACGAAAACAATGGCGATGATGCGGTTACAAAACAGCTTGACACCCTGCTATTGAATCCAATACATGATCCCTCTAAGTAGGCTCTTTGCAAGCCAAACTCTATATCTATACAGGTAGAAAGTGTCCTAGCTATTATTGAATTTTTTTTCATCCTTATTCATTTTTTCCGCAGTTATTTTTCCCAGAAAACTTGAATCTAAACTCCCTGTCGTAAGCCTCTATTTTGGAACAAGTAATGACAACGAAGATACACGGCGACCAACTGATGGGAACAACAAAGAGAAATCGCCATCCAAGAAAGTCGATATTTTGTACAACTCAAATCTGAATGAACGCCAGAGAGCTGCAGTTTCTCGTATCCTAAGTGGTCAGTGTCGACCAACTCCATACATTCTGTTTGGTCCTCCTGGGACAGGCAAGACAGTAACACTTGTGGAAGCTATATTACAGGTACAAAGAATCTTGCAGCAACGTGCGACGCCATTGATCAGAGTATCACACCTCCTGCTATTTTTCTCGAAATGTTCGAGTCGCGTACGCTGTGCATGCGCAGTTTCTCTTTTGGAAAGTCCCCCAACTTAATTCTGGCTCCCAGCAACTCACCCTTCCAGTCTACACTCCGCGATGACATAGTGGTTATCCGTCTTTAAGAAACGATTACCACAAAAAAGGAAAATAATATTTTTGTTTCTATAGTGCGTTTAGTGTATTTTGTTGTGTTGTAAAAGCAAAGCTTCAGCTATATGCTTTTTGATTTGTTCTTTTTTTTACGACAGGTTTTCCACAGGATTCCCGCAAGTAGAATACTAGCCTGTGCACCTTCTAATAGTGCTTCTGATCTCTTGGTAAGAACTACTGCTGCCTTGAGTTGCACGTATTTCCTCTTGTTTATTAACCTTTCATCCTAACGCTTCATTTCAGGCCACACGCCTTCATCGCAGTGGATTTATACAAGAGGGTGATATGGTTCGTCTTAATGCTTTTCAGCGTGGTCAAGAGATCCCTGAGTCTATTGCATCATACTGTCTAAATACAGATAGTCT